TACATGGCTCAAAGCACCTTCTCAAAACAGTTCTGAAGCATGCTTTTTGTTTATGTTTGAAGACACCAGTGTTTCCCACAGTCTGGCAAATGCAAATTGAATCTCTGCCAACAGGAGGCGCTGTTGGAGCGGGTTTCCCCGGTAAGGACTGTAATCAAATAAGCGCTGAGCTCCAGTAGCTCACAAACGCTATTTTATCAGGCATTACAGGAAAGACACAATTAAAATGACATCGAAGCTTTTCTGAAGATGGTCGGTTCTTTTCAAAGATACATTCATATAAAAACACCCGCGCTGCATTTTAATTTTGAAACGTGCAGTGCTCAGTTTATTCAACGAAGTAGAATCCTTTTGGAAAATTTAAGTTTGTGGCAGTCAGTTTTGATATTGTGACGAGCCACCACAAATAACTCAATGTATGGGATACACTGGACACTGCTATAAGTCAAATGGCCAAGTGATAACAGTTGTTATATGGTGTAATTTCACTTTTACACTAAAAGTGCGGAATAAAAAAACCCGCCGAATTGTCTGGACTCCGCCCTTCAATGACTGCTGCCTCGGGAAGCGACGACGCCATTTTTCTTCAAGCGAGCGAGACGGTAAGTTGGATTGCTTTTCTCTTTATACAAGTACGGGAAAAACATTTTTGTTGATAATTTTACTCAAAATATGACTGGTGGTGTACACATTTAGCTGAAGTCTGAAGCAGCCACATTTGGGCGGTTTTCTACTCAATGAGAGAATTCGTCAAATGGTAAATTTATATTTGTATTTGAAAGCATTGAGTGTGGCATTTCGCTGTTTCCATGCTTTGAAACGGTAATAGTGGGACTGTTAAACATTACGCGCTAACAATGACCCTTGCCCACCTCATGGTAAGTCTTTGTCTTTCATAATCACAAGATTATTATATATATTTTTTTGCTTTAGTTCTTGTAGCAGTGAAGTGATTCATTAATTTCTATTCACCCCACAAAGCTCCTGACAACAATGTTATAACATCTAAATGAAGCAATGCACATTATTTTCCTCAGGGTTTTGTGATTTTGAGATGGACATGTGTGTGACAATCCTCATAAGGCTGCGGTTCTCTCGGTTGGTTGTGCATCTTTTTCTTCCACACTTTTTCCTTCCACTCAACTTATGTCAATGTCTCCAGTATTGACTGGAGCTGGACCTCTTGAACCAGTGCTACTTCATTTGCTCCTGAGGTTGACCACACCACCAACACTGCCATGGGTGAATATCAACACATTACTTAATGCTGAATGTATCAGGATAATGCTGAATCACACCGATGGGCACATGTGCAGCACAGGACAGTATAAGATGCCAAAGTGTTGTAAAGTTTGGAGCGCTACCATCATATGGTCTTTAACTGTTCCTTTAAGTGGCTGCTACTATGTTCTGACATCCACTCATTCTCTTCTATCCAGGACACTACATGTTCTTTGAGACAAATGCCAGAACAGATAAGATTGCTCATCTTGAGAGTGAGGTGATGGAGCCTGAATCTCAAGGCTGTTTGGAGTTCTGGTACCACATGTATATGTGGGGCAGTGGTGACCATCTTCGTAGAGAGTTTTAAGTGGGTTTTAGACATACAAGGGTTTTAGGACTTTAATCAACAGCTGCTTGATGGAATGACAACAGTGTTCTGCAAAAAAAAAAAAAGACTTTATGCTGCTTTAACTGCTACTAGGTGACATTGTAACTGTCTACTATGTTTGAATAGCTCATTTAGGTAACAGATTATGAAATATTTTTTTATGGTATGAGGTTTGATCACAAGTTATCATTTAAAGCCAAAAGCAGTTAACAGTTTATTTCCAGTCATTGTTGCTGTTCCCAATTATTGTAAGGGAGATTTGAGGGTTTTTGGAATGATCTAA